GGATGTGGGATCCCCAGGAATTTTAAATTGCAGGTGGTTGTGAGCTACCCGATACAGGTGCTGGGAGGTGAACCTGGATCCTCTGCACGAGCAGCAAACTCTTAACTGCTGAGCTATCTCTCCAGCTCCTTAAATAATTCATTAAAAATCCTTTTACATTTATTTATTTATTTTTGTTTGTTACGGGGGCCTCATCGGTCATAGCAGGCATAGCGAGGCCAGAGGACACCTTGAAAGGGTAGGCTCTCTTCTTCCACCATGTGGGCTCCAGGGACAGAACTCCAGTTGTCAGACTTGGCAGCAAGCACCTTTACCGGCTGACTCATCTTGGCAGCCCATAAACTTGAAGTTTGACTTTGTAGTATTAGAATTAGATATTAAGATAAAGCCATTCATAAGGTCTGGTGAGGTTGTTCAGTGGTTAAGCTGTTCTTGCAGAGAACCTGGGTTTGGCTTCCAGAACCCATGTAGTAGCTCATAGCAGTCTGCGAACTGTGCAATAGTCTGGGCACAGTTAAAAGTTCTTGGCTTCCAAACTTAAAAGCCTCAGCGTAAAAATCATGTTTAGTTCAGTTATCTCCTCTTAAAGAGTTCAAACTTTGTCCTAGCTTTTTCAAAATAATCTTTAAGGCTTGTTTATTTAATGTGTGGGTGTTTGTGATTAAGAGCATGCAGTGCCCACAGAGGCCAGAAAAGGGCATCACAATCCTTTGGAACTGAAGTTACACGGGCGGTTGTGAGCTGTCACATGTGGGTGTCGGGAATTGAACCCAAGTCCTCTGAAAGCAGTCAGGGATGTTAAGCCAGCCCCTGACCTAGCTTCTTAAAGAATAACAGTGAAAATGGCAAGGGATGAGTTTTTTCTCATGTGGAGAAGTTCTGTTGATTCCCATTCTCATGTTAGCTGCAGCGGAGTGTGTCAGGGAACTGTACTCAGGTGACCGGGAAGGGATACAGATGTTTCCAGAACTTTGCTGGCACGCCAGGCTGTGAGCATTGTTGTGATTGTGGGTTCTTCACTCTCTACTTACATAAGCATTTGTACGCAAGCATAGATGTGCGACCCTGCATGTGTGTGTGCTGGTGTGTGTATCCTAGGAGGACACGAGAGAGCAAAGACATCCATCCATGGCTTGAAGGTCACCAGCAAAGAGAAAAGGAGATGTCAGCTGCTGGCTAGAAACTCGGCAGCTGGCCGACACTCTCCACCAGGGAAAGCCTTCTGCCAAAATAATTGAGAATCTTGTAAAGATAACTTTCCCAGGGAGCCAACAAGAATGCTGGGCCAGAGAGACAAAAGGCACGCATCGTAATCTTGACGGTCATTCATAAAACACCCTTTGTCTATTCAGGGAGACTTCAGTACTTGGCTGTGTGGGCCAAGGGAAAGAAAGAACAAGGAGGAATTTTTTTATCGAGTTACTCTTTCAGTGAACTGAGCTTTCTATGAAAGGACTGAAGCCAGCTTCATTCAGTGCTTTTGTTTTGAAAGCAAGGCTTGTTTTAAGTTAGAGACACTGTATGGAAAATGATTTTGATGAATGGGTCCTAGGAACTTTTTAACAACTGATGAGTTTGAAAACTGAATTCAATCCAGGGGATAAAGAATTCTGTTGTTGTTGCTATTTTAATGTTTTCTATTAGTATTTTATTAGTATTCTGTTAGCTTGTATTACGTGTACATGATGCTGGGTTTCATTATGACTTTTTCATACATGGAGTAGTGTGTTCTGGCCTTATTCTCCTGGTCCCTCTTACGTCCTTCTAGTCTCCATTCTCTTCCAAACTGTTAAAACTATTCCCTTTCTGATTTCATATCTTTTTTTGTTTGTGTGTGTGTGTGTGCGCGCGCGCGCGTGCGCGTGCACGCAAGCAAGTGTGAAGGGGGAGTGAGAGAGGGAGCGGGGCCGGAAAGAGAGGGAGAGAGAGAAAGAAAAAGGAGCGTGGGTGGAGGTTTGCTTATGGGAGTGTGAGGTACCTTACCAGTGGCCGCGCCGCTGAAGACAATGTCTGTTCCATGGAATGCTTAGCTTTTAGGTAGGGATTACTTCTGGAAAAGAGCATCTCTCTACTCCGTGGGCATAATCCCTGCCCTCAGCCATAACAGCAAACGACCACAGGAGGAGACCTACCATTTGTATGCACTGAGTTTTTTTTTGTTTTGTTTTGTTTTGTTTTTTTCGAGACAGGGTGTCTCTGTAGCTTTGGAGCCTGTCCTGGAACTAGCTCTGTAGACCAGGCTGGTCTCGAACTCACAGAGATCCGCCTGCCTCTGCCTCCCGAGTGCTGGGATTAAAGGCGTGCGCCACCATCGCCCTGCTCTATGCACTATGGAGTTTTAAGGATTTTCCTGAGCTTTTAAAATTAAATTTATTTTTTTATTTATTTTGGTTTTTCGAGATAGGGTTTCTCTGTAGCTTTGGTGCCTGTCCCGGAACTAGCTCTTGTAGACCAGGCTGGCCTTGAACTCCCAGAGATCCGCCTGCCTCTGCCTCCCGAGTGCTGGGATTAAAGGTGTGCACTACCACCACCCGGCTTAAAATTAAATTTATATGATTTTTTTAAGTAAATATGTTTATACATTTTATCTCCCGGCCACTGTTTCTCCTTCCTCCTCTCCTCCCGTTCCTTCCCCCCATCTCCCCTCTGCTTCTGTTAGAAAGGGGCAGACCTCCTATGGGTATCAACAAAACACAGCATATCAAGCTGCAGGAAGACTTAAGCACCTCCCTGTGTTAAGGCAGGACAAAGCAACCCAGTATGAGAAATAGGTTCCCCAAAGCCAGTGTTAGGGACAGCCCCTGCTCCCATTGTTAGGAATCCCACAAGTAGACCAAGCTACACAGCTGTCGCATATATGTAGAGGGGCTAGGTCATTCCCATGAAGGCCTCCATTACTGGTGGGAGTGCAAAATTGGACAGCCATGTTGGAAATCAGTGTGGTGGTTTCTCAGAAATTTTGGAATCAGTCTACCTCAAGATAGTTTGTTTTGTTTTGTTATTTTGTTTTTTAAGGATTTATATGCTAGGTAGCTCATCTAAAGCTATCCGTCAGCAACTGGAATAGGGCTAGCTGCAAAGAGAAGGCTCCAGAACTTAGCAGCATTTCTCCAGAGGCCTCCCACCCTGTTGGTAGCAGCAGTGGAGTTCTGATCAAATATTTATGAACCACGCTTCTGGCTGGGATGTCTCAACAGAGGGAAAATCAAGTGTTAAAGGAAGGGTTGCTCATCAGAACAACATCCTAGGCGTGGATGAACATCTGCTCTTTAATGACACCCGGCGCTTTCCAACACCCCTCCCTCCTGTACTTCTGATGCATGACCCTTCTTTCGTAACTGCATCTGGTCATGGCATTTCCAGAACCGCTCCATCCAGGGAGGAGGCCCACAGCCAGTGAGTCAGATCTGTAACTCGTGAAAAGGATTACGTGAATTAAGAGCAGATGCCCTGGTGCACTTAGTCCTGAGGCAGTTAGAGGACCCTGTCATCTCTCTCACACCATTTGAGTCTATTTATTTTCGTCGCTGTAACAAAATACCCCAAACCATGTAATTTATAAAGAATAGGTGTTTATTCTCCCCATGGCTCTGGGGGCTGGGAAGTTCAAGAGCATGGTGCCGTATCTGCTAGCACCTTCGAAGACATCACAGTGAGGATGCATACCTCAGTTCAGATCTATCTTCTTCCTCTTTCTAACCCACCAAGTCACCTCTTGGAGACCCCGTCCTGATGACCTCATTCAATCCTCATAACCTGCCAAGAGCCCCAGCTTCAAACACCCTTGGCTTATGAATGTGAGCAGTTTCTAGCCCATGGGATCTGGCGGAGATAGATGGAAGGCGTGGCATCCCACACAACGGGATTCAACCTGCTACTGCCTCATTCGTCCTTCATCCGAGTGTGAGTGCAGGAAGTCAGGGTCAGGGTAGGTGGGATGACTCAGTGGGTAAAGCACTTGCCATGTGTCTTAGTTTGACTCTCTGCAGCTGTGATACAACATTGACCAAAATACAGTCTGGGGTACGTAGTGAGACCCTGTCTCAAAAAAGCAGTTGGAATCAATTTATGAGGTCAGTGGGTCAGTCACTTAATTATCCAAGTGAATGGCAATCTCAATGAAATAGTATGGAGATTGGGTTTATTGTTGTTGTTTTCAATTTTGTTGCATCTTATTTACTCATTTATGGGGGCAGGGCTTGTGCCATGACATACATATGACCATCAGAGGACAATCTGCAAAAGTTAGTTCTCTCTTTCTACCTCATGGGTCCCATATTTGGTCTCAGATTATCAAGCTTGGCAGCAAGCACCTTTACCTTCCCAGCCATCTTTCCAGCCCTATGATTCTTCTTCTTCTTCTTCTTCTTCTTCTTCTTCTTCTTCTCCTTCTCCTTCTCCTTCTCCTCCTCCTCCTCCTCCTCCTCCTCCTCCTCTTCCTCCTCCTCCTCCTCCTCCTCCTTCCTCCTTCTTCTTTTTGGCTAATTAGTGAATGTTTTGGTGCTGGGGACTGAGACCAGTACCTTGGGCACACCAAGCATGTGTTCTGCTGCTGGAGTACCGTTAGCCCTGAAAGTTTGATTGTAAAAAGTGAACGAACACTCATTTTTTTGGACCTTGTAGGCTTGCACAGAGCATGGACCCAGGTATGTTTAGAAAACTTTTCAGATGATTCTACAGAGTTTTTCTGGTCTGTGTAATACTCTGCCTGTCTGAATGGAGGCACTGGCTCTTTACTGGAAAGGGAAAGGTAGGCAGGTTCTTGTCCAGCCCTAGCTGGCGGTGTCACCAAGTGTTCCCATTTTCTTTTGCTTCTCTATGGAGACCAGGCCATGGTGTGTGTCAGTGGCACCATAAGGAAGTGGTGCAGGCCCTGGTAGTGTGACAGGGCAGAAAGGACCACAATTTAAAGTATAGGAAACAATCATGACTATAAGTAGCCAATTGGCTTCGTCCACATCATCTGCGTACCTCATCCCTGACTGACCTTTCTTTTTCAGCACCCGTAGGTGGACTAGAAGATGATATTGTGACCCCAGGTCCAGGAGGTGGCATGGTGAGACCAGGTCTGGAAGACAGAATAGCAACCACGGGTACTACTGGAGGACTGAATGAATCTACTGGCAAGGTACCCTGGGGAGTGTCCAGGGAAAGAGGGAGTTGGCTCCAAAGGCAAGCTGTCACATGCCAGGGGGATGACGTATGCTTTGATGTGAAATCAACCGCCATACAATGAATTAGTGGTATAGCTTACCACAGAGGTACATCTAAGTCTCATCCAGCGACAAGGGAGCTGGTGCGGTGGACACAGATGGTTTGAGAGCAATAGACCAAGTCTTCTCAGAATGGTATGAAATCAGCTTAGCCTTTGCCAGCCTGCACTGACGCCAGGTATAGTGGTACACATGCCTGTAATTCCAGTACCCAGGAGGCAGAAGCAGGCAGGTCTCTGTAAATATGGGCTGAGTTCCAGGACAGCTAGAGCTACATAGGGAGACTCTGTCAAACAAACCAACAAACTGGATTCAGGGAGCTTTAGTAGGTCCCTGGGGAGGTGGGAGGAGTTCACCATGCAAGCCCCCAGCCAGTTACGACACAACCTCATTCTGTGTGGCTCTTCATCCAGGTCAGTTGCTCTGTCCTCAATGATGAGCAATGAAAAAGTAGAAAAGCCAGCCCCGGGCTGGGGCAATGGCTCCGTCAATAACATGCACGTCTTGCAAGCATAAAGACCTGGGTTCAACCCCTAGAACCCACATAAAAGCCAAAGGTGATGGTACCTAGAAAGGTGGACCTCTGGGGTTTGCTGGCCAGCTATCCTAACCTAAGAGGCATGCCCCAGGCCAGTCAGAGATACATCTCATGAAACAACAAACACATTCACACATACCCACTGTGTAGATGGATTTTTTTTTTGGTCTGCCAGCTCACCAAAAATGACATGGAGGCTTCTTATAAATTATAAAAGCTTGGCCTATAGCTTAGAATTGTCCCACTAGCTCTTATAACTTAAATTAACCCAGTTATATTAATCTACATTTTGTCTCATGGCTTTTTACCTCTCTTCCATCTTGCACTTCCTGTTCTCGCTCCATCTCCTCTGGTGTCTCTCATACCTATATTTATTTCCTCATTTCCTCTTCTTTACCCTCTGTCTGGAAGTCCTGCCCAACCTCTTCCTGCCTAGCTATTGGCCAGTCAGCTCTTTATCAAACCAATCACAGTGACACATCTTTACACAGTGTAAACGAATATTCCACAACAATGTGTCCCCCGCCACACACACACACACACACACACACACGCGCGCATTTCACACATAAACCCGGAACCACTTCCTAGCCTTTCACTGTCACCGAATTGCTGTGAGGACCTTTCCTGCAGGGAGTCGGTGCTCATTATGGAATCTCTTCGGCTTTGTTCATTGAGTTTACTTGAAAAAGTTGCCCATGTCTGGTCCTACTGCACATACCTGCTTTGTGGGAGCCTAGGCAGTTTGGATGCTCACCTAACTAGACCTGGAAGGAGGTGGGTGGTCCTTGGACTTCCCACAGGGCAGGGAATCCTGATTGCTCTTCTGGGCTGCTGAGGGAGGGGGACTTGATTGGGGGAGATGGGAGGCGGTGGCGGGGAGGAGGCAGAAATCTTCAATAAATAAATAAATTTTTTAAGAGAAAGGTGCCCATGGTGTACTGAGAATGTGTTGAAAGGACCTTGTATAAAGTGAGCTGTCAGTGACGGTGAGCTCCGCTCCTCCACACAGTTCAGCAAGTCAATGTTAACAGAGAAAAGTGCTATTCCAGTTTCAGAGAGAGAGAAACTTAGGTGTGAGTGAGCCAGTGTTTTTCAAAGAGATCAAGGGACAGGAAGTCTTCATGCTGAACATTTAAAGTTCACTTCTGGACTGAACCTGCTTTTATCCCTATCTCCACTCTTATTTATTTTTGTTTTGTTTTTTTGTTTGTTTGTATCCATCTGGAATTTATACTTGTGTTTGTGAAATGTGTGCTACCTTAAAGTCTTTCCTGCAGGACGTCAGATGCTGTCCATTCCAAACCTCAGGCTCTGTTTCCTTTTTTGCTCCGCCCACTTCTAACAGGTACCAACACACACAGACATTCCCTTTGAGGACCAGCCAACCCCAGAAATCCCAGACCACGATCACGAAGAACATAAGAGTACAACCACTGTCAAAATGGTGACGAGCCATTCTGTGGATCAGTCAACAAGTCACCCCAACAAAGGTGGGTCCGCTCTTACATCACCCATGAAGCTCTCTCAACCTTGAATGATAACGAGTCGCAACCCCCTCCAAGGACCCGTCACTGGCTCCCGGTGTTGCATTGCAGACCCCGTGTTAGAGCCTTGTGCTGGCTGCTGAAGAGAAGGCTTGGGGGCTAAGAGCACACACTTTCAGAGTTCAGTTCCCAGCATCTCACGGCCTCCTGTGGCTCCAACACCCCTGTCTTCTTTAGGGTGCCACACACAAACACATACACATGATGAAAGGAAGATCAATATTTAAAAAGGAAAAATATCTGTGTAAGACGGGTCATATGGCTCAATAGATCAACAGGTTAGGGTGCTTGCTGCCAAGCTTAACTTCCTGAGTTCAATCCCTGGAGCGTACATGAAGGAGAGAATCAAAGCCTGATAATTGTCTTCTGCAGGGCACCACTGCACAGTGCCCACATCCATACAGATACATAAGTCAATCAATCAATAATAATAGTTGTAAAAGAATCTTGCATTGACCCTCAAGGGCAGCAATTCTACACCGACGTTTCCTGGTTTACCTTATGGCTATTCTAAGTCAGACCCACCAGGACTGTGTGTTGTATGCATCATCCAGGTTGGTGCCTGTGACCTGAACTGACCTTGTAGCTGAGGCTAGCCTTGAACTCCTGATTCTCCTGATTTTACTTTCCAAGTGCTGGGACTACATATGGCACAGAACCTGACTGACTGTTGTATATTATTCTTCAATGCATACTTCCAGGTCCAGTTGCCAGTTGAGATTTAAGAACTCTACAGTAACTTTAAGGGCTTAACAAGTGATTTTAGATCCAGGTGTGGTGGTACATAAACCCTCACATTCAAAGGCACAGGGATTGCAAATCAGAGGCCTGGGCTACATAGTAAGACTTTATTTGACAAAACAATAAATAACATGGGGGCTACATGAGGTGCTGTCTCAAGAACAAAGCAAAATCTTTCACAATTGTTTGCCTCTGTACACACCACTATCCACAATATTAACACATGGAAGCAACTCAGTAGTCACACCAAATGAATGGATAAAAAAAACATAATATGTACCCACAGTGGAATAAAACTTAGCTTTAAAAAAGAAATACATGCTTAAACATACTAAAATGCATGTTAGTCACATTCAGCCAGGTACAAAGGACAATATGGTATGGGTCCACTTGCATGAGGCACCCAGAGGTGCTGAAATCAATAGATGTAGACAGCAGAATGGTGGCTTCTAGGAGGTGATGGTTGGACGTGGTGAGTGTATTTTATCCCACTGAGCTGCACACTTACAAGAATTAATGTTGCTCAGGCATGGTAGTAAACAGCTGTGATCCAAGCACTCAGGTAGCAGAGGCAGATGAAGCTCTGTGAACCTGAGGGCAGCCTGATCTACAAAGTGAGTTCCAGGCAATCCAGCTCTGTACAGCATGATCCAGTCCTGTCTCAAAACAAACGGAAAATCGTAATTAATGTCATAATTTTCTTGCCGCATATATTTTGCTCCTATTGTTTTTATCAAGTGGGGTGGGGGCTTGTTTATGTATATGGTTGGTTGGTTGGGTATTTTGGATGCTCTGGATCTAATCTAGCACTTTCCTCATGGCCAGGCAAGAACTCTCCCACCGAGCTGCATCTTTGAAGTGATGGAGAGTCTTGCTGCAAGCTGCTGAGAAAACACTGACAGTAATTGCCAGGCAGAACCAAGTCAGCCTCAGTGAGGAAATAATGAGTGTTAGAACACATCTCTTGTAGACCAGGCTGGCCTCCAGCTCACAGAGATCCGCCTGCCTCTGCCTCCTGAGTGCTGGGATTAAAGGCGTGCACCACCACTGCCTGGCTAAGACCACATCTCAAAACTGTAGAGGACTTCTCGTGTTTGGCCCATGAGTAAAGCTTCCCTAGTCTTCCTTGGAGAAGAATTCTAGTTTATATGGCTTGTTTCGGGGTGGGTTTTATGAGCCAAGAACCTCAAAGCCCCCCCCCCCCCCATAAACATCACATCACAGCCAGTTTTACTTCTGGAACCTGTTGACTCTCTAGAGCGGTGATTCTCAACCTCCCTAAGGCTGCGACCTTTTAGTACAGTTCCTTGTGTTGTAGGGACCCCCAAACATTAAATTATCACTACTTCATAGCTGTTAACTTGCTACTGTTATGAATTGTAATGTAAATATCTGAGACCCTCAACGTGGTGGCCACCCATGGGTTTAGAACCGTTGTTCTGAAAGCAGTGAGCTAAGATCCTAGGGAAAGTCTGATCTTCCCTTCTCTTCATTGTCTTCACCAGACCTTGGGCCTCATCTACAGCTGAGGCAGATAGCCACCCTCAACTCCAGAATTAAGGACTCTCTGTAAAATGGGTAGTGGGAGAAACCAAGTAAAGGACTTTTATTCTAAAGTAGAAGTCATGGGAAACTAACTGTCCACGAGGAAGTCAGGTGGAGAGTGTGTATTGTGGCCACCTGGCTGGACTAGGACACTGGTGGACACCCTCAAGTGACAGGGGTGGAAGTCACAAAGGACCAGTTTTCATTCAGCCTAGCAGGGCAGGCCACCCAAAGTACAGGTCAGACCACAGAGGAAAAGCTATCAGGAGACAACTCACAGTCCTGGCCACCTCCTCCCAAATAAGAAGCCTGCTGTGAAAATGCTTAGGACCTTAGCACTTGCCCTGTTTGCCAGGATTTTGATAAAAAACGAAGTCGCCACACCTGCATTCCTCTGCTCCTCAGCACCCAGATTTCCCAACCATTTACTTCACAGCTGTGGCTCAGGAGCCTTGACTCTTAAAATCAGCTAAGATAAAATCCACTGGGTGTAAAAGTACAGAGGGTCTGTGGGTGGGCTGTGAAGTCGCAAACTGGTGATAATGCAAAAGGATGGTTATCGGTACAAGACTGTCAAGTGCTGGCTTCTGAAGCCCCAGTCAGGTTGGTGGAGGGAATTACCCTCTTTGCATAGGTTTTGTTACATTCCACTTCAAGTAAATTCAGCTGCCAACTGTTCAATTATAGTCATTAAATCCTAATAGTTCTCTATCTTTGCATTTTTCTCTTTCCAGATAGCACAGCTGACGAAACAGAGACAACAGATAAGAGAGGTAAATGAGATTTTGGTCTTCCTTTGGGAGATAAAAAGAAAGTTTCTTTGAATCCAGTTTTTGGGAGGAATTCTATTCATTCTCAGATCTCAGTCAAACAAGAACAGAAAGGACCATCTTCCAAAACAGAGATGATGGGTTTCCTCTCTTCCTTCTTTCTCTCCTTCCTTTTGTCCCTCCCTTTCTCCCTTGCTTTTTGAAGTGCTGGGAATTGAACCCAGCACCTTGGTCCACCACTAAGCAACATCCCCAGCCCACTTTTAACTTTTTTATTTACTTTGAGACAGAATATCACTTAAGTTTTGCCCAGGCTGTAGTTCAGGCTGACATTGAATATAACTCCCCTGCCTCATCTTCACAGGTCTCTCTCTCTCTCTCTCTTACACACACACACACACATACATGCAGTGTATTTACTTAATGACAGCTGTGGAGAATGACAACATATCATAGTTCACTATAACTGTATTATATTAAAAAGCTGGCATCCTTGTTCTTGTAATGGACATAATTTGTGGTTTTTCCCACTTAAATAATGTTGCCTGTAGGTTTGTCATACAGAGTCTTTATTATGTTGAAATGGGTTCCTTCTGAGTTTTCTGGACTTCTTTTGTCATGAACCAGCCATAAAGAAGCATGCCCATCAATGATGAAGCCAGCGTGTGTGATGAATTCAGAGACTCAGAAATCTCTTGATTCACAAGATGGGATTAGAGCAGAGCTGGGGCTGGGGCTTGGTGGCACGGTGCTTGACTAGCACACTCAAGGCCTGGGTTTGCTCTCTGCACCAAGAAGAGAAAAATGGCTCAGTGCTTCCATGCTTGACTCAGGCTCCGCTATGCTTGGGAGAAGAGCAGAGCGCACTCTCTGCTAAGAGCAGCAGGACAATGCCATCTCTTGCGTCTGCTCTTCCCAGGCCTCATGGTTCTTTTCTCTTCATTCAGATGGCTTAGCAGTAGTGACCCTGGTTGGAATCATAGTTGGCGTCCTGTTAGCCATCGGCTTCGTTGGAGGGATCATCATTGTGGTTATGAGGAAAGTTTCTGGAAGGTTCTCGTAAGTAACCTCTTATCCCATGTGATATGTGAACGTTGGCAGTCCTGCTCACCACTCAAACCTCTGCATGCGTAGAACCACTGCCTCGTCGCCTCCACTGGGGCAGATGTCAGCATTGGCTATAGACATTTCTAAAAACACAAGCAGAGCCCAAGACTGACTTCCTCTGTGGTCTGAGGAGACTGGATCTCTCGTCTTAGTTTTCCAACTACCCACACTTGAAAGAAAATCCAAACCAAGTTTTAACTTGTTCCCTAATCAATCTCCTTGCTCTCCAGCCATCAATGACAGGTGTGCTGAGGGGGAGAAAGCACCTGTCGCAGAGACAGGCCTTCGTTCTTATGAGGACCTACACTGTGGGTGCACTGTGTGTGCCGTGGGAGGGTCTTTTGTAGTTATCACTCCCTCACACCTGTCCTGCACACCCATCACACAGGTCGTTCTATCTTCCTGGCATTGGCTTTAGGAGGGAAGAGCCTTTCTCCTGGCTAAGCTTCTCTCACAGCGTTCCAACTCAGCACGGGAGAGAAACCAGAGAAATCTGATGGGCGGGGAGGGGAGAGGATGAGTCGTCCATGGCTGGGAAGGGCAGTGACACACAGCTGCCAGTGCATCGTGTTGGAAATGTCTGGAGTCCTGACCCCGCTTGCCTAAGGACTAGGTGTGGAGGGGAATACCTGGGAACTAAGGGCGCAGGCTTCTGGGACTGAAACCACAGAAAAGGACAATAGGCTCAATGACTATGGGGCAAGGGAATGATTGGTCCCAATAGTTAAAGAAGCAATAATTCTCTTTATTTTCACAGGCCCTAAAGAGCTGAACAGATCAGGTTGTTCTCCCAACATATCTGAAAATAAGGGTGCTTCCAGCTCCCCATCTTCTGCTTGTGGAGGAAGATGACCCATGGAATGCCCACCCCACTCACAGCCATGGTGACTCCTCCGCTTGCCGAAGTACCAAAAGGAAAGATACATGACAAGCCACGGCCCCTCGAAGCATATGCCTTTGGAAAGCAAACATTCTTAATACAAATTTTTTAATAAATGATTCAAAATACAACATGCGTGGAAAATGAAGCGAAGCTACGTAAACTGACTTGTTAACCAAGACAGCATCACCAGTTGACGTTAGCAACTGTAACCATGGCTTCATCCTGGCCATTCCCTGCTACTACTGGGATGCAAAGGAATCTGGAAATGTTTATTGAATCTGCAGAGCCATTGGCTCAGTGTTACTTACGTCAAAGAGGCACGGGCCTGCTGATATGTACACATTCCAGCCTGGATTGGGGGGGGGGGGTGTTTAAATATGTTTGAGTCATCGAGCTGCAAGTGTAAATTTATAATCAGGCATGGTGAGCAGCCCCTTAAGGGAGCCTGGTGGACCGTTTCAGAAGCATCCATTGTGGCTTCAGGTCCAGGAGGGTACTTGGCTGGTTACAGTTCTCTAAACCATCTCTAAGCCATGGTGACTTGAGGAGTCATGTCCTCACTTCCCTACACTCAAACCTTTGGATGATTTGATTCTTTCCATACAGTGAAGGCCTATTCCAGATGTTGAGAAAGCTTTTGGATGTCACAGGATGCCAGAGGCTCAGCAGCTGTAGAACCAAGCAGGGAACTTGGTCCTTAAGCACAAGAGACTCCTGTGTGTGTTTGGTATAGAAGATAAACTGATCAGTTTCTAATATCTGCCTTCTGTTTCTGAAGAAAGACAGGGAAAGCAAAAAGAATAGTTGCTCTTATGTGGATGGGTGTAAAGGTCTGAGTTTAAAATAAAAGATACTTCTAGTCTTCGTGACATACCACATCTTTCTGTGGGTTCAATCAAGAAGATCAAAACGATGAGACCACAGGGGTGTCCTGCCTCTACCACCCAGCTCGGTACTTCTCCTCTTTCTTCTGCACAGTATTTAACACTGGCCTGGCCAGATGCTCTGTTAAGACTGTGATTATATAATCCTTACATCCTCTAGCCTAGGAAGAGTTCACAAGATGCAGAGAAAAGTAACCCAATGTGCCTGTGTGTTGACCCAACCCAGCTGGCCCAGCAGGCTGCCTATTCGCACATCAGCGGGGCCGGGCTGGTTAGAAGAGCCTTGTGAGTCAAATCGTAGTGTGAGTGGTCCTCCTTCTCATCCGTCAGATTCCAAACTGGAGCTAGGAACAGTGCCCTTTTCTTCTTTCTGTCCTCTCCCTTCCCACTTCCACCTCCACCCCACCACCTTCACCCTGAAAAATAGCAGCCCAACTCAAACTATACCCCAGAGTCAGTGCCTGCTGGGACAGGGCTGTGGTGTCTTGGTCACCTGTGTTGGTACTCAATACAGTGTCGACATCTTTTCAAATAAAACATGATTGTGTACAAACATGAGTCCAACCTCTGACTGAACACTTCCGCCGAGAATGGATGTTATTTCTGCTAATGTTATACAACATTTACTCGTTTTTGGTTTGGTTTGGATTTTCAAGACAGGGTTTCTCTGTGTAGCCCTGCCTGTCCTGGAACTTGCTTTATAGACCAGACTGACTTCGAATTGCCACATGCCTTTTAAACCCAGCTACCTGTTGACTTAATGGAAAGAGAGTATCCATGGTCACAGGAAGTTTATTCCCAGGAGAGAAATGTAGCCACAGCGTTCATTAATCTCTGCTAAAGACGAGAGGCCAAGGCCAACAGGACAAAAACTAGGTGGCCTCTTGAGTCTTTTACTCTCTGATCTCAGGGTTAGTGAGGTCTTGCCTGGTCCTTCCTTTCTCTGCATTGTAAAGAAAAGCCAGGTGAGGAGCAATTTTATCTTGCCCTTGAAACTCAAGGCCTCCCTATGAATCCAACTGTAGATCCAGAGCTCAGCTGTCCAAGAACAGGGTGACAAGGGAAGGGCCCACAGATGTGGACAGCTGTGTCTCCATCCAGAACCCACTTCTCACTTGTTCTTTTGACCTGGAGACGGCCCCAGTCAGGGGACTGGTCCCTCTGTCATCTGTCCCTCTGCATCTTACCACTTTGCCACTGTTGACCTTCTACAAGCCTGTGATCACTTATAAAAGTTGAGGGTTAGTAGTAGTTACATTCTGCCCCTTTCAAAATAGGTGAAGCTTGGGGCTGGTGAGATGGCTCCGTGTGCAAAGGCGCATTCTACACAAGCCTGAGGATGTGAGTTTGGTCCCTGGAACCCAGGGGAAAAGGAGAGATCTGATTTCTCTTGCTTCCACTAATTTTCACATATCACCCATAATAAATAAACATTTAAATCAGTAAAAATAGGAATTGGCTATCCTTTATATATGCCTAGGATCATAAGTATTCAGACATTGGTTTTTTTTTTGTGGGGGTGAGGGTGTTGTTTTGAGAAAAACTTATATATTAAAATTTATATTTTGTGTGTCTATGTGTTTTTGCAGCATGTCTATTTGCACTACCACTGCCTGGATGGAGCCCACGGCAGCTTCCTGAAGAGGGCATGGGATCCCCTAGAACTGCAGTTACAGATGGTTGTGAACTATCATATTGGTGTTGCAGGCTGAACCAATGTCCTCTGGAAGAGCAGCCAGTGCTCTTAACTGCTGAGCCATTTCTTCAACCCCTTGAGATAGATTCTTGTCTCGTGACTTAGGTCGCACTTGAAATCAATCCTCCCACCTCAGCCTTCCCAGTTCTGAGATTATGCGCACTATGCCTGGCTCCAGACATCAGAAAATGGAATATTTTCATAGTCCCAGTTGACCATCCCTAATCTGAGATTGATAACTATGACACTCCAAAGTCTTGAACGGAGCATCGTGTCAACTCAAAATACTTCTGTATTTTTTTTTTTTTTTTTTTTTTTTTGGTTTTTCGAGACAGGGTTTCTCTGTGGCTTTGGAGCCTGTCCTGGAACTAGCTCTGTAGACCAGGCTGGTCTCGAACTCACAGAGATCCGCCTACCTCTGCCTCCCGAGTGCTGGGATTAAAGGCGTGCGCCACCATCGCCCGGCTTCTGTATTTTTTTTAAGCATTTCTGATTTCAAAGCTTGAAATGTTTGACCTGGCCTCAGGTTTTATTCAGTTGGGGTTGTTGAGTTTGCAGAACATCAGAGTCCTGAGTGCCTGGTTCCCTAGAGATGATTGAGATTTTGGCCCATCCATTGCTTTTTTTTTTTTTTTAACCCCTTGGGCGGGCCATTTAAAAACCTTGAGGGTTCATTTGTAGTTACTTCTGGAGACTGGAGAAAGCTTCTCTGGTCTCATGGAAGACTAGGCACACTTCCTAGTCTCACACCCCCAAAAGGAAAGTGGGCCCTCCTTTTGTTTGTCTCATGCACATTTGTCTTCCAGGATAAACACTCCTAGGGGAATGCTGGAAAGCAGAGCGATGGTCTGCCAAGGGTGTGGGATGTTTAAGAAAACAGCTTTGTCTACTCCTCCACCCTGGACATCTGGGCTGGCGGTAGTGATGAAGTTCACTTCTATTGCTATATCAGTCTGTTGTTCGGCTGTTCATGGTGTCTCATGCCTGTACTCCCTGAGCCCAGAAAACTGAGGCAGGAGGAGCATGAGTTTGAGGCCAGCCTGGGCTTTATACTGAGATGCTGGATCGACTCTCTGCTTCCTGCTCCACGTTTGTCTTCTCCAGCAAACTTAAGGTTCACTTCTGAAGTTCCTCGACTCGGGTGCTGCTCTCCAGCTGAGCAGGTGTCTACTCAGTTCCCAGCTGTCCCTTCAGCCCCAGAAGCAGTGGGTAGCACTTAGCTAGTGGACAGTCCTCCTGCCCTCTGCAAGTATACCACCCTCTTCCTGGTCAGATCTTCAATAGAAGCTCATCATGACTGCAAAGTTAAATGTCCTCATCCCCCTCCTGGATCTTCTTGTGCCAGGGATCCTGAGCTAGGATATATCTGAACATACCACCACCACATTCCAAAAGTGTTCCAGTGGTTATAAAACAACCAGGGCGAGGGGGGTCCTATATGAGACCACGGTACCTATATCACAGACACCCATACAACATATTGCAGTAAAAGCTGCGTGGTTCTAGGTCTAGGTCCAGCTTGGGTGCCAGCTTCTCACACCTCCAATACGTAGGAAACTGCTCATTTTGTAATAAACTTAGACTTTATTATTTTATTTATAATTTGGGGTTTTTTGAGGTAGGGTCTTTCTGTGTACCCCCAGCTGTCCTGGAACTGTCTATATAAGCCAGGCTGGCCTCCAACTCACAGAAATCCGTCTGCCCCTGCCTCCCAAGCGCTGGGATTAAAGGTGTGTGCCACTGCATTCTGCTTCCTTAGACTCTTAATGATTTTGTTTTTATTTGTGTGCACGTGCATGTGAGGGCACCTTTCTTGCAGGCTTGCTCCTAAGGTATGATTTAATTGGATAATAATAATAATCCAATAACTTCATAATGATCATTTCCCCTTTCTCTTTCCCTTCATGTGAATATCTGTGTGACTTCATTTCTATATGAAATTATTTGGATAAAACATGCTTATTATTTCTTTCAAAATGATAGAAATGTCTCATCTACATTCCTAAAAATTTATTTGGGGGTGGTAATTTAATATAATTACAGTTTAGTGAAATTGAAGAACTGCATTTGCTTTTAAAGTATAATTTATCAAAAAATAGGACAGATTTTCTTTGGTTTTGCAGGGGTTGTGTGAGTATGTGTGGTGTATACACACCTGCTTGGGTGTGTGTGTGGTTGTATGTGCATGTGTGTCAGTGTGAATTTGTGTGGTGTGGATACACATGCTTGGTGTGTGTTTGTATGTGTATATACACATGCTTGGGTGTGTGTGTGATGGTGTGTGTGTGTGAATTTGTGTGGTGTATACATACATGCATGGTGTGTGTGTGAATTTGTGTGGTATATACACATATGCTTAGTGTGTGTGTGTGTGTGTGTGTGTGTGTGAATTTATGTGGTGCATACACACACATGCATAGTGTGCGTATGTGTGTGTGGTGTTGTGTACACATGTGTGCCAGGCATGGGAAACCTTCCTTCCAGTTGTTGGTCAAAGTGATTAAAGAGACCCCCAACACAATACAGGATATTCACATTGCATGTTGTCTTGGTTGTTTCCTGCTTCAAAAGACCCCATTGTTAAAGTACTACATACTAGAGACACAGGACACGAAGAAATCGAGCTGGAACTGACCCAGAAGCCTCCTTTCTGAGGGCTAGACCTCAGGGAACCAGAAAGTGCCATGCAAGCTGCCAAGGGAGAAAAGCCAGCAGTAGTTCCATCCA